CGGTCGTCGACCAATCGGTCGTCTAGTCTCGTGGAAGCCGTGCTCATGTCGAACGCGCGATTGGTCGATTTGACGTGTACGTCCGAATGAACCCTCGAGTCCCTCGAGTTTGGTCTTGAAGTACTCTCCGTATCGCGTGTCATTACACCCGAGTCATCATTTTATTCGAATAAATTCACCCGGCGAGCAAAGTGACGCGCGTACGTCCAAGATATCACGTTGATAAATTGTCGAGTGTTAAGGCGCGATGGTGCCGCGCGCACGGTGACTGAATCGACTCACGCGGTCCCGGTCAGTTCCGTGCATTCAATATGGCAGGTCGAGGTGGTTACGACGATTCAAGGCAAGTATCGGCCGTGTTTGCGGCCGTGTCACGCCGCCGGGAGGGTCACGGGTGACCGTGGCCTCGGGACGCACGTGCCGCGGATCCAACCGTCCGGGACGCGTGCGTCCCTCGCGCGTATATCCCCCGGTTTTAAGGTTAAGTGAGTTACGGGAGTGCAAGCGCAACACCTTGCGAGGCGCCGCGACACGCGGCTTTATTTTGGCCGGTTGGGCCCACCCGGACCCGCGGATCTCGGGACCTCGACGATGCGGCGCGACGTGACGAAGCGGAGCCGTCCTCGGGAACGATGCACGTGCGGTGCACGCCGCGAGAGGAAGCGAGAGATGGAGAGATGGTGATAGACGGAGAGGGAAGGAGGATCGCGACGAAGCAAGGCGCGATCATGCGATGTGCAGCGGCGTCGCGTTTCTTGGTGAAGTGCTCGAGTGTGCTGTCGATATAAACTCCGTTTTCCCTCGTCGTCGCGTTCACGTGTTCGCGGTTTATCGTGTCTCACGTCAACCTGTCTCTTTGATACACAACATTCTTCTCACTTCACACATACACGATATGCGTGCGCGCGCGCGCGCGCGCGTGCTAGATGGATATTGGCGAGCTTTCTCACTTGGAAAATGCATTCGGCTGAAATATGTAAATAATTAAAAGAAACAGAATAAATTCGCAATTTTTTTATTTATTTTGTATAATAGTTTTGTTTTATTGCTGCACTGGATTGTACTAGAATTTTACTTTTTGCTTTTGTCAAATGTCAAACATGTACCTACTTCACTTTAAGTATAAGTCCGACTAATTCAGCTATAAAAACATATGTATTAGCATTTGAATATGTCTGCGATTTTAGAGAGCAGTCGAATGCAGTTGATACAGATTTATTTTAATGTACGTTTATAATAATATTTGACTTTATTGGGAGAGATGAAGTCTTTTCTTCAGAGAATTCATATAACTAACATAGCTAATAACATATGAATGAAAAAGATGTAGAAATATCTATACAACTACCTTGCAATTGGACGTAATGATTTATAAACGTATGTACACATAGTATTTCAAAATAACAAACAATAGTAATAAAATGTGTTCAATAGAGAAAGTAATTTTTCAATTGTAAAATTCTTTAATACTATTAGTTCAAATATGTTTAAATCTAGTGAGAAATAAAGGGCAAGACTAATCATATTAAAGAATTTTACATCAGTTACAAATCTGCTTTCTCTAGCCCCAATAATTTAATATATTTTACATTTGTAAAAATAAGTAGCTGTCAAGATATTTTTCTTTATTCAGAGATTATCCAACTCATCGAAGTAGAAAACCTTTACCAACTGAACCACCATATACTGCGTATGTGGGAAATTTGCCGAATGGAATTGTACAAGGCGACGTTGACAAAATCTTTGAGAAGCTTAATGTCAAAGTCATCAGATTGGTTAAAGACAGGGATACTGACAAGTATGTATTAATTGGATTAGAGAAGCAAATCTATATATATCGATTGATTAAAAAAAATTTTTTTTTTTTATTTATAGATTTAAGGGCTTCTGCTATGTCGAGTTTGAAGACTTGGCTGATCTGGAGGCAGCATTGGAAATGGACGGAGCGGTAGAAGTAGACAAGTGTTTGATCAAGATCGATGTAGCAGAAGGAAAAAGAAATGACCGTGGCGGTGGCTTTGATAGGAGAGGTCGTGGGGGCAGCAGCAGTGGAAGTGGATTCAAAGGACGAGATTCCGGCCGTAGTGGATACGGCGACGATTTTGATAGTAAATCCTCATATTCAAGTAAACACTATACGCTTTTATATTCGATAATAATAGAATTGCAATGTAAATTTTATATTTGCATACTAACAATGCTAATGCTTATAATGCTGAACTAATTTTCTCTCTATCATAAATGTTTAATTTGCTGCAAATATCAACTACAATAAAGTTTCTTAACGTTTATTCACAGGATACAGTGATAGAGGCCCCCATGGAGGTAGTAGGCAAGGTAACGATAGATGGGATTCTAGAAGTAATAGAGGCAATTACGGCCAATTCAACGACGACACAGGTGGAAATCGTGATTGGTCGCGAAGTACGTCTAGTAGGTCGTACACTAATAAACCTCCACTTCGGGGAAGTGGTTCAGACCGAAAACCCTTCCCAGATGACCCTTACAAAGATGCTCCTCCCCCAGGTATGTAAACAACTTAGCACGAGATACTACTGTGTCTCTTGATATAAGTATACATATATGCATATATAACTCATTTCAGGAAAACTAACTAATAAACCATATTACATTAAATACAATAAAAACAAACTAATGTATATATAAATACATATTTTGAATTCTCTTTTAGGATTTTTATTAAATTATAATATTGTACTCACTATACAGAAATCTTAGAAAAGAATATATATTTGTGTATATGTTATTAATTTGTTTTTTATTTAATGTATTGTAGTTTATTGTTCCCAAAATGGGTTACACTTTCATACTGTATCACTTGATACTCTACTTTCACTTAAAACTTTTAACTCCATAATCAATCTTTTAAAGCGTACATGGAATAAAAGTCTGAATCGAATCTGAAATTTGTCGGTTATAAGTCTGCTTTTACATGGGACCACATATTATTTTATAAGAACATTTCTATAATTTACATATTTTTTATACGAATTTATAACAATAAAGTCCAAAAACTAAAACTAGATATATTCTATTATATTTCTATTATATTGAAGATGTAAGCTTTATTCAGAATAAAGAACCACGCAAAGTAACTTTGGATCTATGTGTTTTTAAATAAATTTATTTCTTGAACATTTTTCCATTTAAAAAAATTCCTTCTGATATTTGTAGAATGACCGAAAATCAAATCTGAGTCTCTTTGTTTAATAAAACAATTATTCTATCTCTAAATTATCTAAAATCTCGAGAATATGTATATACACACGTTAAGTAATGTATTATACATACTTAATAGCATTTTTTTTCTACTTTAGACACTACTGGAAGAAAACGTTTGGAGCTCCAGCCAAGGACTGTTAAAGAGCCTGTGAATTCAATTGCGGAATCAAGTAAAACAAGTTCCATTTACGGAGGTGCAAAGCCTCGAGAAGAAAAATTGAAAATGCAGCTGGACAAGTAAAATTAACGATATCATCAATAGTCTCAGATTTCCCCGAGGAAATTGGAGAAAGAAACATTGTTGACACAAAATTTTAAAATCGATCTAAGATTCCCTCATAGTTTCCTAAAAATCTAGTGGTGATTCTTCGAACATTCACAATCAGGAAATACCCTTTTGTTTTTAATTCTTACAAGGGGTGTCACCCGCAAAGAAGGATATATATATACATATATATATATATATACATATACATATATATATATATATATACACACTACAGACATAAATCTATTACACAGTTCTAAGGTTTTTCTTTGCGCATTTTTAATCAAGAATAAACATCTTTTTTCTTCTAATATCTTTTGTATTTATAAATTAACTTTTCGATTCTCAATGAAAATAGAGTACTTGTAACTACAATATACATAAAGAGAAAAATGTGTATGCACAAATGCATGCTCCAATAGTGATAGCGATTTATATACATAAATGATTGTTAAGATGCTACGCAGTTGAGTACATTTTAATACTCGTGTCAATTTAATGTTGGGTTTCGTGTCTGTAATAATACTGAGGGTACATGTACAAACTATCACAAATATAAAATGTCACAGCATGTATATTTCATCTTAATGCTAGTATTTCTTATCTGTACTTGAGACTAAGCCCGGGTTTAAAGAAGTACAAAGGAAAGTGGCGACTACACTAAGTTTCGTTTCCTTCCATAGAATTTTTACGTTATACCGTACAACGCTGATCATTGTGTATCAATCGTTCGTCAAGGCATACGTTCGTTACGATAATAGCATACAATTGTTTAATATTACTAAACATTCTTTTTTTTTCTTTCCAATCGACCAGAATGATGAAGGATTGTGAAGTATAACATGCGAGTGATTCAACAAATTTCTACATTGCGGGGAGCGAATAAAGGGAATGCGCCGATTATTATATATTAATAATTATGTAATAAATTAACCAGTGCTAACAGTTGACGTTGAGGAATTGCAAGAAACGTCGTGAGAATAGCAAATAAAATAAAAAACGAAACCTCGAAATAATAATAAATATTATGTAAAACAATGCTTGTATATGATAATATTTCCTGAATAAAGTAGCTGTTTGCCTCGTATCTGTGCAGTATATTAGGATAAGTGAAATCGGTTACAGTAAAATAAATAAGCGAGATGTAATTTGTGAATAATATGCAATGTGTATTCCTAACATTTTGTAAATGCGCCTTGTGTATCTCTTTCTCGCTCTCTTTATATATACATATGTATATAAATATATACATATACATATATATATATATATTTTTTTTTGGACAAATTCTGCGCTTTATTGAATTCTGTCTGCTTAAATAACAAATATAAATAATATATATAAAATTTACATTAAATTTTGTTTGCTTAAATATAATAAATATAAATAGTATGTTAAAAAGTAAAACAATTTTGTGTATAGTGTGTATGTATGAGATTTATTGATACATCATTATTTACAAATTGTATATACATATATTTTAATTTAATTGATAGTTTTTGCTATTGTCGATACATCACCGTGGACTACCCTGGTCGATATACGAGATCGCAACCATCGCAACGTGGCTTTTTGCGAGGACGTAAAGGAATGCCGTTCAGCTGTTCGGTTGCCACGCCTCAACTTACTCCGATTCATCGTGTCCCCCCTCTCCGTCACACAACGCGTATCCTGTACAGTCCAGTCCGCACTGCGCCGTCCGTTCCTCGAGACTCGCCGTCGTGCCTGGACACGGTGCGACCACGCGACACTTTCGGCGACTACCGTAGCTGATTAAATCGCGGCGAAACGCGCCACGTATCGAGTGATATTGATCGAACAATGCGGTTCGAAGTCTGATACGTTTGAAATCGAGGTAACCTGTTTCCCCGTCGTGCACGCGTATTGACGCGTATCTGTGCGTTCCGCCGCCGTGTCCTGCCGCACATTTTCGTTCGCGGCCGCGTCGGTCTAGAAATAGCGGTCTAGAGTTGACCGCGACCTTCGGTAGAGACACAGAGCTTGTTTACGGATTCACGCATCCGACATGTCGAGCGAGAGCGTGAAAACGGTAAGTGTCTCCGCCTTACGTGTCACATGAATCGCAATGCCTGCCATTAGACTTAATTAAAATGGGCCTTCTACAATAAGCTACAAGTCAGAACGTCAAAAGTCTTAACCAGTCTTAATCAAGTCGTTCAAGTTGGCTATTGGCCAACTTCACCGATTATGACTTAAGATCGCTTAGAACTTCTGACTTGCGGGTTATTGTAGAAGGTCCATAGTCTCTTGTGTATGAAAAAAAGTTGCACGACTGGTAAATGAAAAGCATTGATCGCGGGATATAAATTTATGATTGTAATTATTCGCAGTAACAAAATTGGAAATGTAGGGTGTAATGAGTAAATCTAACAAAATTAATTTAAATTGTAAATCAGGGCCAACACTGAATGGTGAAGTTAATTACATTTATTAACAGTAACAAATCTTTCACTACTTTTTTTCCAACATGGACAGAAAGGGAAGAAAGATGAATGGTGCAAAAGAAATTCAGTTAATGCTAGTTTTTAATATATTTAATTTAATTCAATTTAATTTAATTTAATTTATTACAAAGCTCTATGAAAAAGACTACATGTTAACAGAATAAGGCCCGATTGCACCAACATTACTTTGATTTTAAACTAGGCTTAAAACTCTGTCTCGTTTTAAAGCAAAAGAGAGACAGAGACAGAGAAAGTTTTAAGTCTTGCTTAAAGTCAAAAGGACTGTTCTTTTTGGCTGAACTTTTGCACCAGTTTATCTTCCTTTTCTCTTCAGGAGGAAAGAAGAGGAAGAAAGATGAACTGGTGCAAAGTTCAGCCAAAAAGAACAGGCCTAAAGTAACATTGGTACAATCAGGCCTAGATATAAGCATAAAATATGATACAATAGACTATAGTAGCTTGCAAATGGTTAGGCATCAGCAAAACTGTTGTTTTCTAATATAAATTAATTTTAATCTTGGATTAACCTATTCTTTGTCTTGTAATTTTTTGAATTAGAAAAAAATGAAGAATGAGTAGGATTCAAGACTAAAATTAATCATTGGTGAAAATGGACATCAAAGAAACAAATCTTTTATCTAAAGATACTGTAAATAATTCTGGAACATTTTTTTCCAGTTTGCGAGCCTGGAGACACCTGGATACGTAGGCTTCGCAAATTTGCCGAATCAAGTGCATCGGAAATCTGTGAAGAAGGGCTTTGAGTTCACGCTTATGGTTGTGGGAGAGTCTGGCCTCGGAAAGTCCACCTTGGTAAACAGTTTGTTCCTTACGGATTTGTATCCCGAGCGAATAATTCCTGATGCAGTCGGTAAGCAAAAATGATTTCTTTTATTTTATACATGTGACATGCGATTTTTACGAATTTCTATATAATTAAAATGTTTGTACTTTTATGAATAGAGAAAACAAATCAAACTGTCAAACTTGATGCTTCAACGGTCGAGATTGAAGAAAGGGGCGTGAAACTTAGATTAACAGTTGTTGATACACCTGGTTATGGAGATGCAATTGATAACACGGATAGTTTCCGAGCTATTATTCAATACATAGACGATCAGTTTGAGAGATTTCTTCGTGACGAAAGTGGTCTAAACAGGAGGAATATCGTGGATAATAGAATACATTGTTGTTTCTATTTCATCTCTCCATTTGGCCATGGGTACACATTGTTAAAATTAAAGTAATTGTTTAGAATTAAAACATGTAGCAAATAATATAATTGATTCTTCTTTTCCCTGTTGTTGACCAGGTTGAAGCCGTTGGATATCGAGTTTATGAAGCAACTTCATAACAAAGTTAATATAGTACCTGTAATAGCAAAAGCTGATGTACTTACCAAAAAAGAAGTCTTGCGCCTGAAAAAAAGAGTTATGGAGGAAATTGAAGGCAATGGAATCAAAATATATCCTTTACCGGACTGTGATAGTGATGAGGATGAGGATTACAAGGAACAAGTACGTCAGTTGAAAGAAGCAGTCCCGTTCGCAGTGTGTGGTGCAAATACCTTGCTCGAGGTCAAAGGAAAGAGAGTACGTGGTCGACTATATCCATGGGGTGTTGTTGAAGTGGAGAATCCCGATCATTGCGATTTTATCAAGTTGAGGACAATGCTGATGTAAGTTGTTGTTTTATTATGATACAATGTTTACGTTGATATACGTAAATATTGATATATATTTTCTTTATAGCACGCATATGCAAGATTTACAGGAGGTAACGCAAGAAGTACATTACGAGAATTACCGTAGCGAAAGATTGGCAAAAGGAGCTCCGGTGCCGCCCCGACGTCAAACAACGTGAGTACAAATATTTCATTTTATGATATTGTATGAGCGTTATTTCGACTTTCGTTTCTTTCTTTACAGTATCACGGAACCTGACAAGAACAGCACCGTGTCAGAGAAGGATCGCATTTTGCAAGAGAAGGAAGCAGAAATACGACACATGCAAGAATTGCTGGCTGTGATGCAAGCGCAGATGCAACAACAGCAACCTTGATCGAATATGCGTTTGTGTACTGACGTATGAAATGAAGGAAACGACTCCTCATTGTTACGCGAGTGCCAAAATGATTTATAAAACTTTATTTTATTAGTGATTCACACGATTAGGGTCTTGATTTCGACCGCAATATTTTTCTAAGCTCGTCTTTTATTAGGGAAATCTCATTTTGATACGCGCCACGCGTTTTATAGGCATATAAGAGTATAAAAATACTAATGTTTCTACATAGTATTAACTTTTGATTGTCGACGTGAGGACTCTCGACGGCTCTGTTACGACATCCAATGCCTCGTCCAGAACGAGCAGACTAATAAAATCGGTCTGAAATTGCGACACAGTATGAAACAAATGTTTGCATATCCAAGGTTTACAGGTAAGGCACTTAAGTAGCTTGTTTCTTTTTTAACAAAACTTATTCGAATCGTTCTATTTCGAAGATTTTACTGTGCGAGTACTTACTGGGAATCTTATTTGGATTCATTTTTGTTTTATGACAAAGAAATGTATTTGTTTTTGATTCAACAGTTTCTCATGTGATGTCTTAATTATTGACAAATTATCGAATGTTTTACTCATATTGTGCATTTTGCATAGACATAATAAGAATATAAGATAAGGTTTTATTGCATAAGTAAAACGAGACCAATGAAACAAAATTGCAAAAGCAGATATCTCATATAAGCTAACGTCTAATAACTCCTAATTTAAAAACACGGTATACGCTCAGCTGTTCACGCAGCATCTTTTATAAAAAAAAAATATTAGGTATCTTATATACATGACGTAAAATATAGGAATTTTATCTCAGATAATCATACAATAGAAAAAATTATGAAAAGAAGTGCCTTGCAATTTTTATCTATCTCACTATCACAGTAGAATATCAACATATGTTAGAAATGCAAACTTTTTCGTATACAATTATGCAAACAATTTGTTATAAACAGTTCATTTACATTAAAAGAATCACTTCCACAACTGGGCAATATATTCATAATAAGTTATAGGTAAAACTTATATTGCTGATTGAATAAAGAATCTCATATTGAATTCATGTAGGACAAATATATAAAAAATTTTTTAAGGCTAATACAATCCTCGAGTAAAAACATCGGACTGATCGCGCTAGATTATCTAAAGACAATTGCATATAATTATTAATATTAAGCGACTTAGAAGTAAAGAAGTATGAATGTGCCGTACCATTTTTTAGAAGAGAGACCAATATCAATCCAAAGTTAATTTTAATTGTATTTGTATAACATTATATATTTTTTTTACAATTGGCCATTCTCTCATAACTTCTTTGTTCTAAGTCTTCTTCACGCATATAGTCCACGAAATATGTAAACGATAAATGTATTCCTAAATATTATATTCGTCATACATGATAAAAGTAAAAACATAATGTTTAAGATGAATGTGACTACAGATTTAGGAATTTTCTACGTGTATCACATACAAACATCTCTTTGTGCGAATTGTTTCATACAATACAACGAAACATGAAATGTGATTACATATAAGAAAGAGAATTTCGTATTCAAACGTGAAATTGGATAAATATTAGATGGTAAATTAATTAAAAAAGGCAATATATTTTACGCTTTTAATTCAGTCACACGATGTTAGTTTACGAGCATATTTACACTACAAACATTTCCATGTTTTTATACAGGAATTGTATAGATACGTAATTAGATAAATTTTTATATCTCTTTTATACAAATATATATCTTTTAACAATCTGTGCTCTGCAGTCTAAGATCTATGCATGTAATAGTCTATCGCCGTTGAGAATGCTGCAAAGCCTGCGGCACCGACTATGCCCGCTTTTATACCGGCTGCAAGGAATAAGATTAAATAAGTAAATTCAAAAACATTAATAATTATAACGCACGGAAAAATTATAAATACCTCTTAAGCCAATTAATCCACCCGTCAAACCGCCTGCATAAGTGCCGTTTTTCCAGTCAGTTTTACCTCTGTACTGAAATCAAGACAACATTTATATTAAGTGGTAACGCCACTCTAGAGCTCGAAAAAAAAGACGTGTTTTTGATAATTTTTTACGGAGATACAATAAAGGAAATGGAAAATCTGTTTATAGGAGTTTATTATACATGTTTTGAAGTAAATAAAAAAATTTTTTAATTAACATTTTTAAACAAAATGTATAATAAACTCCTATAAACAGATTTCCCATTTCCTTTATTGTATCTCCGTAAAAAATTATCAAAAACACGTCTTTTTTTCGAGCTCTAGAGTGGCGTTATTCCTTAATATTGTGCGAGCAGATTATTGTATCCAAAAATAAGATTTCTTATCTAACGCACATATCTGGAGCATTACCGATTCTATTGTGCACTCGATAGCGGAGAATACGCATCCGACAACCGCGAAGTTCTTCGCGTAGCTAAGGGTCGTGATTTTCATTTCCTTTAATATCTCTCGTGCGCTCTGTTGCCTCTCAACGCTCGCTACGTTGGGATTCACGCTGGAAGAAAATAATCCAATAGCTGCTCCCAAACCATATCCTAAAAGATGAATATTTCAATTAGCATGATATAATTTTGACCGTTGTAATCTCATTCTTTGCAGTCTAAATTATTTCTTACAGATAAGTGAATTAAAAAATCTTTATTATTAAAAGAAATCTGTAAAGATTCCAAAAATACAATTAAATATATTATATAATCGGATATTATTTTTAAAATATCCTATAAATTTCTGTAAATAATAAAGATTTTTTTCTAGTTATAAAAATTAGAAAAAGATAAACAGTAAGTTAAACTGGAATTTAAAATCTTACTTCAGAACCATAAAGAATCTATTCAAACTTGCATAATTATATAATTATATATATAAAGAAAATTATCCAATTACATTTTCATAATAAGGTTGAACATAAAATTAAATTAGATCATTTTCTTTATGTCCAGTAAATATTAACAGTAACACATCAATATTATAATTTTCTATTCAACAATATAAATGTAATGTAACACATGAACATAATAATTACATTGTTAAAAGGAAATTATAACGCTGATATTATTGATGCTTTCCAGTGCAAGAGACACGATATAATATAATGATCATTCCATTTTTATTTAACATTAGCAAACAATAAAGATACAATAGACTTGTTCTTTTTGGCTGAACTTTTGCACCAGTTCATCTTTTTTCCTCTTCTTTCCCCCTAAAGAGAAAAAGAAGAAAGATGAACTGGTGCAAAAGTTCAATCAAAAAGAACAGGCCTAATGACTGACTGTGTCATCTTGCTGGAAAGCACTCATTATGTTACTGTTAGTTGATGTTTATTGAATGGTTATTCAGCTATGTAAGCTTATCTAGGTAGACCCTTATTTGACATATGAATCTGCAAAGGATTACACATCTATAATTTTTAATGATATTTTGATATTTGTTTACAGAAAGGAGTGGTGAAAAGACATACCTAAAACACAACTCATAATGCTCTTAAAAGCACAGCTTTCCATCACGCTGTCTATTCTCTTCTCCTCGATGGTCTTTATCTGTACAGGTCCCAGAATTCTGGGGATTATAATGTTTTCTCTGAAGCGTTGCTGATTACCAACGAGGAACAGGGCGATCTTGTCAATATCGGCGTCACTTAGGGACACCTTCTTATCGGCAGTCGCCGGTGGAACCGTTTTTGTCAGATCAACCGGGTACATTTTTATAATGTTTGCGACGATTTGAGTCCCAAAAATTTAACTTACGTCACGTCACAACATGACAAGTTCCAAATACGCTGGCTATAAAATTCAGATCGCCGCATTAAATCGGATCGTAACGGAATGATCTGAAATGCGGATAAATTAAACGTCGCGTCGCATAAGTTTGGAATAAAGTCACGCACGTTGGAATTAAATTTCATTAGATCGACCAAGCACAAATGACAAATCGCATGCACCCGGTTGCAGACAGCGTGCTTATCATGTCTGTTTCCTAACCAAAAATTTTTCTGTGAAGGGATTGAAAATAGTCGCAACTAATAACGATATATATCGATAAAAGAGGAATATCGACCAATTAACAATATCGATATCTTTCTTTGAAACAAAATTCAAATTATCTAACAAACCTTTTTTTTTTAGCTGAACTTGCATAATTCATCCTTCCTTCTTTTTTTACACTGGAAGATAAAAAAAGATGAACTGTGCAAACTAAAAATAACAGACCTCGTCAACTTCACAATTCAACATTTGGTAAAAGTGCAATCAGCCCCCTGGCACTCCCATGGTATAAGAAGAAAGGTATATCCAGGTATATCACTGCGCATAGCAATGGCGGCACGATGAACATAGCCAATGAAATTTGGGTCCAACTACACCCGCACAATTTAAACACGAAATAATCACATATGGTCATATGTACTTAAAATGTTTAAAAAAATAATGTAAAAATACTTGTGATTATACAAACGTGCACAAATGTAATGAGAGAAATAACGAACTATGAATTATTATAAATGATATAATCTTCGTTTGCAATGTATATGTATGTGTGTTTATATATACATATGTTTATATATATATATATATATATATATACAATAGTATATATTAGTAATTCAAGATTGAATTATTTAAGCAACCAAGATCCAGCTTCGACCGTAATAGGCATTTTAAATTTCTAGTAGTGATTATTAAAATAATCACTGCTGAAGCATTCCATTATCTTTCGATAGTTGCTCTGTCGGTAGTCGCGGAGATGTAAAATTTATATTACTTAACTGAATCGCAGTATCTTATACTCGTGTCGATGGAAAACTGCGGATTAATATGTAAGAAATGAAATCGCCATCAAATGTGCTGTTTTGTATGTTCTATAAAATGCTATCACGGACGTGCACAGTTCCTTTTGCAAATAATTCAACAACTTAATTCTCATTCACTATATAATAGCTGATCAGCAGTTGAATCAGTGAAATTGCTTGTTGATATATGTCTTAATATTTGTGCAGTTGCACACAAGGTATTGCTAACAAGAAGCAAATAAATGATGGTATTTTAATAAATTTCGATATCTCAGGTAATTTATGAGAAGGATGATTTCTAAAATAAAAAGTTAAATGAGTAAATAATTAGAATTTGGCTATAGATATTTCTATCGATTATAAATTTATGCAAAGATATGATTATTGTATATTGAAAAAAATTTCCTAAATACAAATAATATTTTCTTGAGAGTACTAATTGTAAGTAAACATTTCCTTATTGCACATAAATTTATTAAACGTAAACGTATATTATCTGATTTAAGTGTTTCTTTCTTTTTTTGATTCAATATTTTCTTTTGTTTGAATAAATATTTACTAAACAATAAATATTTATATTAAACAAAGAAATGGTTGAAACTTAGTATTATATTTTGAATAAAATATTTTTTACATTAGATTTAGAAAATCTATTTTTAGTGTAGATTCCATGAGTATACATAATTATTCCATGAATATATACATAAACCGCAAAAATTTTTATTTGAGATATATTGTCATTTCTAATTTATACGTTTTCATTGTCTTTTAATAATTTTTTAATGAAGTTATCTTATAATAATTGCACATACTTCTAATATAATTTTACTAATTTTAATTAAGGTGTTCAAAATTTTATTAATTTGAAAAATAAGCATTCGATTTCGCAAAAGTGCCGCATTTAAATAATTTATACAAATATTCTTTGTTATTATTCATGTACTCGTAGGAGTAGAAGAGCAATCGAATACGATTGATTTAAGATCTAAAAAATCACCAGAAAAAATTTGAAACAAACTATGCTCGATAACACCTTTACTTGTAAAAATATATAAAATACTCTTACTGTCATGAATGATGGTAGAGACAAATTAAATTTGTCACACGTCGAAAGCTTGCATTCTAAATTATTACCTAATATCATTAACATAAATGTACGTTTTACAGATGATCCAAACTGATACCACTTTTCGTGAAATGCTTTATTTGTTATTTGCTGACTCTGAATTAAACATATAACAATATATTAAATAATTATACATATTCAAATAATCGAGTTGTAAAAAGGCAAAGGAACTATGCTTTTTGTTCGTGCTTTACAATATTTATATATGTATTGTAGCTAACAATTATGCATACATACGTACATACAGACATTTCGACCTTTTCAGGTTCTTTTCAGTGTAATAAAATTATCGCTGCTATTTTATATTTCAAAATCTTCATAAAATCGAAATCCTATCGAGATTCCTATACTTCGAACGCCTTCAATTGTTGTAAATGAATTTATCTCTAATCTCTTGTGGCGAATGTTAGTGTATGCCGGTGTAATATTAAATATGAAGTATCGAGTGTAAGATTGAACATCCCAACTCCTAAGATCTTGTTCTATGCTATGAATTGGATGTGTGAAATTTTTATTTATTTGTCCATCAGCAGTAGAAATGTATAATCATAATGTCTTAGATGGTTTACTTAGTCTAATATTAGGAATTCACAAAGATAAAAATCCTTCTGACAAACATCCATCATAGTTTGTTGTTAAGTAATGTTCAAGGATATTTATCTTTGTGAATTCTTAATATTAAACTAAGTGCATTATCTAAGAATGGTATTAAGATTACATATTTCCACTTTATCAATTATGCAGTATAGGGGACCTGCAATGACCTTGACCTTGACATATGTTGGTCATGACCCCGAGTGAACTTTTTTTGTTAACAACTTTTTAACGAACAATGAGCGACGGTTACAATTTGTTCAAGGTCACTCAGGGTCGTGATTGATTCTTACTTATGGACCGTAAGTAAAAACCAATCGCTCAGTGAGTAGGCTGCATTTCAAAAACCATACAAAAAAATCTCTTGCAACCTTTAATCAGTAAGTGTAAGTAGGTATGCAATTGTTAGTCTACAATAAACATATAAATATTTTAAAACACGAACAAGTGTTGCTCCTTTGCCTTTTTATTATTTGATTATTGAAATTTTATTCGTTGGAATCTATTACATTATTTCTAATTTTAAACTTAATTATAATATATATATATATATTAGTTATATTTAACAAAAACTTTTTTAAGTAATGCGTTTTATGTATTTGGTATACATTTTTTTTTAATTTTGTGACGTTTTTTTTAATGAAATTACTACTTACCGCGTCTAGTAACTGTTGAACGCAAGAACACAGCATGTAAAATTGAACTATTGAACCACATGCGAACATGACGATTGAAAGAGCTTCTGGGACAGTCGTTGAAGGTACCTCAGAAAATATAAAAATATCTTATTTAATGTAAAATTTATAATCATATACATATATACATAAATATGTGTGTATATATACAGGGTGTCTTACATTTATCGTACAATACTTTCACAGGATATTCTATATCGACGATCGAGTAACGAACTTTAGAGCGCGGCGCGCGGTCTTTCGCGATGTATTAATTATTCTCACTGACTTACAGTGAGCACTAAATTCTGATATGTATATATTTCGATACTACGATGTCCAAGGATTATTTTAATATCGAAATCATGCGCCTAATTCTTTGACGATCGGGTAACGTACTTTAAAGCGCGGCGCGCTCTAATATTCGAATTAACGTTATATTTGAATCAACGCTATATTTTAATTTTTTTTGGCTCTATTTTGGAGCACTAAATTAGCACTAAATTCCCTGTACACTTATTTTTTGTATACGTGTACTGTATTTTTTTTATGGAGGTCTAGCTTTCCATTAAGCTGGATCCCCCATTTTTTTTACTGTTAAACGGTTTAAGCACTAAATTTCGGAATAGGGTACTAAATTAGCACCTAATTAGCACTAAATTTTTAACCTATTCTGAACTTGATTTTCGATAATACATGTTGAAATATCTGAATTAACGCTATATTTAAATTTTTTTAAATTCTATTTTGGAGCACTAAATTCCCTGTGCACTTATTTTTTGTATACGTGCATTGTATATATTTTTTTTATGGGAGGGTCCAGCTTGCTTTTAAGCCGGACTCCTCCACTTTTTTTTACTGCTGAACGGTTTGAGCACTAAATTTCGGAATAGGGTACTAACTAAATTAGCACCTAATTAGTACTAAATTTTTGACCTATTCCGAACTTGATTTTCGATGGTGGGGGATCCAGCTTAATAGAGGTCCTCGCGGACCCCCCAGCGCCGCGGCTACCCCCGCCCCTCACCCCCCCTCAGAGGACCTGGATTTAAAAAATCCCCCTTTATATACTACCTACTTATTATGTCGATATAAATTGAACGTAATAAATTTAAATATTACTTAATTATAAATTAAATATATATTTTTAAACATCATTTTTGAAGTATTAGAAATAGTTGAAATCTTTTTGATAATATTTCAAAAAAGTTGCAGAATTTTTTTGTAACTGTTCAGCAACCTTCTAACGAGGCTTTATGTGCAAGAATTGCAGATTCTTGCTATTCTAGACATTTTGCTATTCCAGAGTTGTCTTAGAAATGTTGCAGACATATTTTGCAACTTTTATGAAATGTTTCACTTTTTAGTTGAAATATTTCTAAGAAATTTTTAAAAACTTTCGGTGCTGTATGGGGCAATATCTCTCGAATGAAGCGTTTGCAAGCATACCACATATAATAATTAATGATAACATTTATTACTCACTGTGCTCAGCATGACACCAATAAAGCAAAACCTTAA